GGCAGGCTAGAAAGAATCCGAGAAATGGCTTATCCTGCAAACCAAATCTTTCACTTAAAGATGCAATCAGTGCAAGCATTTCAAGGGGAAAGCTAGTCTCTGGTGCCACAAATGATTCCAATTTAACATCTTCAGTGCCAACTTTTGCTAATCCGTTTTGGATCGAAATGATAGTTATTGCCAAAAGATCGATGACAAACTCAAGAAGAATGCCTGAATTATTTGGAATTCGCTTGGGTGCAGTTCTTGTCACCGGGATCATCTTAGCTACCATGTTTTGGAAGCTAGACAATTCACCTAAAGGCATCCAAGAACGTTTAGGCTTCTTCGCTTTTGCCATGTCCACCACTTTCTACACTTGTGCTGAAGCAATCCCCGTCTTCCTTCAAGAAAGATACATCTTCATGAGGGAAACAGCTTATAATGCTTATCGCCGGTCATCTTATGTATTAGCTCACTCTCTAATCTCCATTCCTGCTCTAGTCGTCCTCTCCATCTCCTTTGCCGCAACAACCTTTTGGGCAGTAGGCCTTGCTGGTGGCCTTTCCGGGTTCTTTTTCTTCTTCTTAACAATCTTTGCCTCGTTTTGGGCTGGAAGCTCTTTTGTAACATTCCTTTCAGGCATCGTCTCTCATGTCATGTTAGGTTTCACCGTTGTTGTGGCCATCTTGGCCTATTTCCTGCTCTTCAGCGGATTCTTCATATCTCGAGATAGAATACCCTTGTACTGGATATGGTTCCACTACATCTCCCTGGTGAAATATCCTTACGAAGCTGTTCTGCAGAACGAATTTGATGATCCTACAAAATGCTTCGTTCGAGGTGTCCAAATGTTTGACAACACACCCCTCGGAGCAGTGCCAGTGTCACTCAAGTTGAAGCTGTTGCAAAGTATGAGCGGTGTCTTGGGCGTAGACCTCACAGGCTCAACTTGTGTGACAACCGGCAGGGATATCCTGGTGCAGCAGGGAATAACCGATATAAGCAAATGGAATTGCTTGTGGATCATTATTGCCTGGGGATTTTTGTTTAGGATTCTGTTTTACTTTGCATTGTTGTTGGGCAGCAAGAACAAGAGAAGGTAAATAACCAAGCCGGTGAAGAAGATTATTGAGGGGGTACAACAAGAATCAATGGAAATTTCATCAATCTATATTGTGATAAAATGTTTTTAATTAATTTTCTTGTCAAACACTTGAATTCTTCTTCTTCTAAAAATGGGATGTAGCTGTTGTGTTTGCTCTTTTGCAGTTCAAGTCACCCATATCTCTTCTGTTCAACATTGTTCAACAAACCTTTATCTTCTTTTTTCCCTTAAGTTCAATAGTAAAGGGATATGACCCTCTGATTTTCTTGAATCCTGATTCATAAAGGTAGCCAGGTTTAATGAATGCTATTTGAATCCTTAGATAAAAGCTCGTGTTTCAGAGATTAAGATTAGTGTAATGGTATCTTCAATTAAGTGCATAATCCAAAGTCTATGTATAGTTAATCTACTTCATACCAAATACTAAGCACTATCTCTAAAAACTTATTTTAAATGGGAAAAACACTGCTTTATTTGGATTTGGCCCTATACAATTTCTACTTTGGAGGAATTTTAGACTCTTAATTTCATAACTAAAATTTTGCCAACATGTGATTGAAGGGAAACTTTAAAACCAGATTGTGAAAAAGACAAATTAGGTGATTGAGGTTGGAGTTTTGTGGAAAGAGCTAGCTGATCAGGCTTCTATAAAAGCAAAGCAAAACAAAGATATATACACACACAATGTAGGGATTGGGGCAGCCTGGAGTTGACCCTTTTTTTTTTTTTTTGGTTTTAGTTAGATGAAACTTCCATTAATTCTTAACCTAATTCCATTATTATTTCCTATCCCTATTGCCATGGCAACTAGCACAATATAGGCTAACAATTTCTTTCATTACTTCTTATCACAACTTTTCGTTTTATGTATTATAAGTTTTGGTCACTATATATATATATATATATTATGTTTTATAACTTTTGAGTACTCATTGTCCTAACTTTTTGTTACTTTTTATTACAATTTTCTTTTATATATATATATCTTTTTGTTATTCATTGTTTTTTTTTCTCAATTTTTGTTATTCAGTGTTACAATCTTTTGATTTGTGTTATAATTTTTTGTTATTTATTACAATATTTGTTATGTGCTGTAATACAGCTTTTTGTTATTTTTTATTACAACATTTTGTAAAGCATTACAATTTCTCTCTTTTTTTTTTAAATAAGCATTACAATTTCTTATTATAACTTTTTGTTTTTTGTCCATGTTACAAATTTTTTTATCATTTTATACAATAATTTTAAAAAAAACATTTGTATTTGTATTCATTGTTAAGTCAGATTGATAAGAATATCAATCAAATCTCTAGTCTTTTAATTATAAATAGAAAATTAGATACAATATGATTTATCATATCTCAATGTATCAATACAAAAATCTCCTCTAATTATTGTTAATGAGCACTTTCTTATACTAATATCTGTAATAATTTTCTGTTATGCTTTTATAATTCTTTATTACTATCTTTTATAAATTTTTTAATATGTATCACAATTGCTAGTGATGTGTTACAAATTTTTATTACTCAAAATTTTTGATAATGATATAGTAACCGGAACCAAAGAAGAAAACATTACTGATAGAACAATGTTAGCTAGCCATAGCTGGCTAATTTTCTGTATATATGAACAGAGTAGGGGAAGGAGACATATGGTTGAATCCTGAATTATTATTGCCTGCTCAAACCTGTTTCTTGTGCTTTGGATTTGCTGTTGTTTAGCCACCTTCTCCGAACTTTCGCCCTTTTCTTGCTGCCGTAACTCTATAGATTCTTAAACCCAAAGCTTCCTTTGGTTTATATACAATGAACAACTGTCACGTCAAACCCAAAGCTACACACTTGAGCATCTTTATGTAAGATTTTCCAGATTAAGATAGCATAAAAATTATACATTACACCACCCCGACACCTGAATCTTCAAAACAAAAGAAAGTAAATAGAAAAGATTTGAGCTTGATACAAGTGCGATTCCCAAATTAGCCAATCCAGATACATTCTTACATGAATTTTTACTTCCTCTTATTCTTGCTACCAAACAACAAAGTTAAGTAGAATAGAATCCTGAAGAAAAAGCCCCAAGCTATGATAATCCACACGCGGCTCCATTTGCTTAACTTGGTGATCCCTTGTTGCGTTAGTATATCCTTCCCTGTTGTTAAACAGGTCGAGCTAGTGATGTTCCTGCCCAGAACATTTCCCATGCTCGATAATAGATGATTCTTCGTCGAGGTTGGCAGTGTCCCAAGTGCTGATTGATCGAAGAGTTGTACACCCCGAGCAAAGCATTTTGTTGGATCAAGGAATTCGTTTTGTAAGAGAGCTTCGTAAGGATATTTGACTAGAGAAGTGTAATGCAACCATATCCAGTATTTTGGTATTCGATCACTAGAAACAAGGAATCCACATAAGAACAGGAAGTAGGATACGATGGCGATGCCAATAACAAAGGCAAGAAACACATCAGGGACAAGCCCTGACAGAGATGCTGCAAAAGAACTTCCAGCCCAGAACGAGGCAAGGGTTGTGAAGAAAAAGAATAAGAATCCGGAGAGGCCACCAGCAAGGCCAACAGCCCAAAATGTTACTATGGAAAAGAAGAGGGAGAGGATGAACAATAAAGGAATGTGGATTAGAGAACGAGCAAGGACGTACGAGGAACGACGATAAGCATTGTAAGCAGTTTCTCTCATGAAAATATATCGTTCTTGAATGAAAGTTGGCACTTCGGTTATACAGTTAAAGAAAATGGTGGCTATGGAAATGGCTATGCATCCTAATCGCTCTTGTACACCGCTGGGGGAATCGTCAAGTTGCCAAAACATGGTGGCTAGAACAATCCCAGTGACCATTATTGTACCCAAGCGGACACCAAACTTGGCCGGCATTCTTCTTGAATTTGTTAATAACCGTCTGGATAATACCAACACTTCAATCCAAAATGGATTAGCAAAAGATGGAACTGAAGATGAATGATCGAGATCACTTTTGTCAATGGCACCAGAGACTAGCTTTCCTCGAGAAATGCTTCTGCTAAATGCATCTTTAAGTGCAAGACTTGGCCGATTGGAAGCAATATTGTCATTTTCATTCGTTAAGGTCTGCCATGACTTGTTGAATTCAACTAAATTTTGGGTTCCGGGGGGAGCTCCTTCGAGTTCACGGATAAAATCAAGAGCAAACTCGGATGGATTTTCGTTTTTAGGGATTGGATGCCCAAAATCACTGAAGAATTGTGAGAGATTCGCTGGTGAACTGCTGTACAATGCTTGTCCATGTGATAGTATTATCAAGCGATCAAGTAAGCCCAAAATCCTGGAACTTGGTTGGTGAATGGACATGATCACAATGCTTCCACTCTGTGCAATTCGCTGCAAGACCTTAACAACCATGAATGCACTGGTTGAATCTAGCCCAGTAGTTGGTTCATCGAGAAACAAGAGAATAGGATCATGAATTATATCAATTCCAATGGAAACCCGCCTGCGTTCTCCTCCAGAGACACCTCTATGCCCTTCATCTCCTATCACTGTCTTTGCTGCACTTCTCAAGCCTAGTTGATCAATCAGAGCTTGCACTCTTGCTTTCTTTTTTGACTTTGAAAGTGAACGAGGAAGCCTGAACTCGGCTGAAAACATGAGAGTCTCTTCTACTGTTAGCATTGGGAACAGAAGATCATCTTGCATAACATAAGCAGAAATCACCTTCAAAAGGCCCGAATCCAAAACTTCCCCATTCAAAGTGATAGACCCCATCAGGCTATGCTTTGCAATCCTGTTTGCAAGAGCATCTATCAAGGTCGATTTACCCGACCCACTTGCACCTAGAATCGCCATGATTTCGCCTTCTCTTGCTTCACCTGAGATATCTTTGAGCAAGCTCTTGGTTTCATTTTCTGAAGAAACATTTCTGTTCTTCCCATAGAAGGGGAACCAAGATTTGCGGCCAACTTTGACATCATAATTTAAGTTGTTGAACGAAAGAACAAACGGGTCTAATATGGGGATGGAACCGCTGGCAGTGGGAAGGTCTAGGCCCTGTTGCTCTTCTGAAGGGAATTCTTGAATCTCCATTTTTGGTTAAGGCCTCTCTAATCGAAGAGTTTATAACGCTTGCCTGCACATGTTCTACTAAAACGTGTTGCAACGGGAATAGTACTTGGTGAATGGTGATGGGGGATTCGATTTGATCCTTGGCAATCTTGAGTTACACTCTTCATGTGGCCCTTTTGGCTGAAGGATGACCTGGAAATGAACAGGCTTTGACTCACTGGCAACTTACAAAAAAATAGTTGAATCTTTTAGTAGGTTTTGATGTTTTCCTTTTATCTAAGGATATAGTGTTATACATTACAAAAGAAATTTCCCAGCAGCTTCTTTCTTTACTTTCTTTTTTTTTTTATTGCTTTTCTTCCCACAGTCTCTCTCTCTCTCTCTCTCTCTCTCTCTCTTCCCCTTAACCACATGGAATTTCTTGAATTGTTAGTGTCATTCATGTGGGACAATTTGATGTGGTGTTTCTTTTGAAAATGATTTGGCTTGATGGTATTTGGTTCCTATTTTTCCAGAAAATTTGAGTTGAAAAGAAGTTGGCAATGAAGTTTATGGAGGTTGGGTTGCCTTCAAGATAGTAAGGAAATTGCTATGAGTAATCTAAATTTGAGTTGAGAATATCCTGAGCTATGTGGAAATTTGGATTATACTTAGCTAATGATGCTGTGGCTTCTACGTGGTGGAATAATTAGCTAATAAAATATCAGAGAAAGGAAATAAAAAAAATCAAAACAATTAGAATATCTATTTATAGTAAAAATATTGCTATGAGAAAATTTGCTAAATTCCATTCATTGTGGCTCAAATGGTTATATATGAAGTATACAATTTATCTATTTATAATTAAAGTTTTTACGACATTTGATTTAAGAGAAACTTTATCAATTCCATTCTCCATGGCTCAATTGACTACAAAGTACACATTTTAATACTAAATTTAGAAGATCCAAAAATTACAAGTAATACAAAGCTACTTTAATTAAAGCAATGTCTCTAATCAGCTGGAGGTTTTGTTAAAAAGAACATAATTCAATGGAGAAAAAAAGAAGAAAATGAAAACAGTCAAATATGAGTTCAATGACAACTAGAGATTGGGGCCTGGAATTGAACCTTTTTAGCCTTAGTTAGCTGGCACTTTGATCTTAACCTTTACATTATATATTAACTACTACATATGCCAATCCTTGCCGAAAGGGGTAATTAATTTCTTTTCTGTATACTTGAAGCACTAGGGGAAAGGGGATGGTTGAAACCCCTAAACTGTTATTGTTACTTGGTACGTTAGGGCAAACGGGTTCTTTGTGTTTGTCACTTGCTTTGTTCTTTAATTTGCTACCTTCTCCCAAGTTTCTCCCGTTTCTTGCAGCATAATCCAGAATTAAACCCCAAGCTTTGTTTTGTAATGACTATATCATTTTGCAAACTTCATCAAAATTGAATAAAAAACATTAATTGATATTTGTAACGAAAGCATGCAAATCACTATATCATTTCTCATTACATTCTTAACATCGATAATGCTTGAGTAATTCATTCCATTGTTGCACCAGTAAATTACGTACATTAATTCCTACATGAACTTTTACTTCCTCTTGTTCTTACTCCCAAACAACAAAGTTAAGTAGAAAAGAATCCTATAAAAGCAGCCCCATGCAAACGTAATCCACACGCAGTTCCATTTGTTTAAATCTGTAAGCGCCTGCAGCTTTGCTATATCCTTCCCCATTAGTATGCAGGTCGAGCCTGTAACGTTCATGCCCAAAACATTTCCCATGCTAGTTAACAGATCATTCTTCAATGATGTTGGCAGTGCACCAAGAGTTGTTTGTTCAAAGATTTGAGCACCCCGAGCAAAGCATTTTGATGGGTCCTGCAGGAATTCATTTTGTAGAAGAGCTTGGTAAGGATATTTCACTAGAGAGATGTAATGAAACCATATCCAATATTTTGGGAGTCGATCTCGAGAAACGAGGAATCCGCAGAAGAAAAGGAAGTAGGATGTGGTGGCAATAGCGATAACAAAGGCAATGAAGAAATCAGGGAAAAGCCCTGCAAGAAAGGCCACGAATGAACTTCCAGCCCAAAACGTTGCCAAGGTTGTGAGAAAATAGAAGAAGAACCCAGAGACGCCACCGGAAAAGCCAATAGCCCAAAAGGTTATGGTAGAAAAAACGAGGGAGAGGATGATCAAGGATGGGATGGAGAAAAAAGAACGAGCAAGAACGTATGAGGAACGGCGATAAGCATTGTAAGCAGTCTCTCTCATGAAAATGTATCTTTCTTTGATGAATTCAGGGGCTTCGGTTGTGCAGGTATAGACAATCGCGCTTATGGAAATTGCTATGCATCCTAATCGCTCTTGTACGCCTCTTGGGGAATTGTCAATTTGCCAAAACATGGTGGCTAGAATAATCCCGGTTATAATTATTGCACCTAAGCGGACACCAAACACCTCCGGTATTCTTCTGGAGTTTGTTACTAGCCTTTTGAGTAATACCAGCACTTCAACCCAAAATGGATTGGCAAATGATGGAACTAAAGATGTTAGATTTACATCAATTGTGGCAACGGCACCAGTGACTAGCTTTCCTCGAGAAATGCTTCTCTTTATCGCATCTTTAAGTGCAAGACTCGGCTTATTGGAGGCATTGCTATTGGAATTCATTGCCGCCTGCCATGAGTTGTTGAATTCAACTAATTTCTGGGTTCCGAAGGGAGTTTCTTCAAGTTCACGGATAAAATCAAGAGCAAACTCGGATGGATTTCCGTTCTCAGGAAATGGATGCCCAAATTCATTAAAGAAACGTGGGAGATTTGCTGGTGAACCGCTGTACAAAGTTTGTCCATGCGATAGGAAAATCAAGCTATCGAGTAAGCCTAAAATCCTGGAACTTGGTTGGTGAATGGACATGATAACAATGCTTCCACTCTGTGCTATTCGCTGCAGGACCTTAACAACCATGTATGCACTAGTTGAGTCTAGCCCCGAAGTAGGTTCATCGAGGAACAAGAGTATTGGATCATGAATTATATCAATTCCAATGGAAACTCGCCTACGCTCGCCTCCAGACACACCTCTATGCCCTTCATCTCCAATTACTGTCTTTGCTGCATTTCTCAAGCCCAGTTGATCAATCAAAGCTTGAACCCTCACCTTCTTATTTGACTTTGAAAGTGAACGAGGAAGCCTGAACTCGGCCGAAAACATGAGTGTCTCTTCCACTGTCAGCATCGGGAACAAGAGATCATCTTGCATAACATAGGCGGAGATCACCTTCAGCAGGCCTGATTCTAGGGCTTCACCGTTCAAAGTGACAGACCCTCTCAGGCTATGCCTATCAATCCTGTTTGCAAGAGCATCTATCAGGGTCGATTTACCAGAACCACTTGCACCCAGAATAGCCATGATTTCCCCTTCCCTTGCTTCACCTGTGATGTCATTGAGCAAGCTCTTGGTTTTTTTGTTTGGTGAAACAATCGTGTTGTTTCCACAACATGCGAACGTTGATTTGGGCCCAACTTTGACATTATAAGTTAAGTTGTCGAAAGAAAGAAGAAATGTTGCTAATGTGGGAATGGAGCTGCTGGTATTGGGAATGTCTAGGACCTGATAATCATCACTTTTTCCTGTGATTTCGTCTCGCTTCAAGAGATGTTCGAGTGTGGGAGAGGCCGAGAATTGGGCTTCCGAGGAGAACTGTTGAAGCTCCATTGTTGTCTCTGGCCTCCCTCTTTAGGAATCTAAAGCATAAAATGATCTCTTCTTATATTTAAATTTAGCCCTCAACCCCAAACTCAAAATCCTAAGATTCGAGGAAATATTTTGTTTTAGATTACACACCTCACATGATGAGTGTACAAATGTTAATATTCAATTAATAGTCAACTCCATGAAGCTGATTTGAGTATTAAACTTTAAAAGAAAATTGCAGCAAGAATCATATGTTTATTTAATTTATCTTCCATTTCATCTTTTCCTCTTTAACAAGTTCTATAATTCACTTATGAATTGCACGTGCTGAAGATTTATATTCCAACATGCACATGGGAATCTAAGTGGAAATTGATTTACCCAAGATTTTAAAATGGTTTTAAAACAAATTCCATTTCCAAGCCATAAATTCTAAATTCTAATAAATAAGTCCTCTAACGTATGACAATTTTGCAGCAAATAATCTTACACCTTCAGGACAAGATCTCTTAAGATTTTTCTTTCTGTTCAAGGAGGATATTTTGGCCAACATTTTGTACAACTGAAAAAATAATGGAGAATGGCCGATATTTTCCTTTGTAAATGAAACATTACTTGCTGTCATTAAAACTCAAAAGTGCATTGAATTTCAGAATTAAACTAGGAAAACGTGGGTTTGATTCCTCCAACCCAAAAGGATTAGTCAGCAAGGCAAGACAAGGTGTGTAGCCTGTAATAACAAATGAGTAGTGCCCTGTTTTCTTTTCTTTTTGTTATTGTTTTGATCAAGTCAAAGCACACGAAGATGATAGCATAACAAATTTTCTGTATATAATTTTGAGGAAAATTAAAATTAAGAGGAAGAAATGGCAAATGAGGAAAAAAGAATTTAACCGTGGTTATTATAAATTGAAAAAAAATTAATTTTATATATAAAAAATAAAATAGTTGTTGAGAATTATTAAATACATCTTATAATTTTTTTTTGAAATATATAGGATAAATACATCATATAGTTAGATTGGAAATAAAAGAAATTGGTGAGAGAAAAATAGCTATTGGAAATCATTAAATACGTATTATTGTCAATTGATTGGAAATAGAAAAAATAATTGAGAATTAATAGTATTATAGGAACTAAGAAATGATAAAAAAAGTTAAGATTTATTAAGCACATAATTAGAGAAGTGAGAAAATATGTCATTTTATTAATTATTTTTAACTTTTACATATTTTTAATAAAAAATGAGATAATTAATTCAGAATTAATAGAAATGTAGAAGTGGGAGAAAATAAATATTTATTAGACATGGAAGAATAGATAAATATTTTATTAATTATCTTAATTGTTATATATTTTTAATATAATTAATTATATTATTACTTTCTAAATTTGAGATCTAAAACCCTTGCTTGAGTGGCCTTACACAAAGGCTGGTCCCTAAAACCAGAAGGTGCATAAAATATGATAACAAGGAGATTCTGTCTGTAGTAATATTTAATCAGCATCCATTTCTTCTAATGCAGCTCTAGCTGCAACCTTGGCTTCCTCTAAAAGGGCATCAGACACCTTTTGATGTTGCTGCTTTAATTTAACTTGTAAGTGCAGTTTAAGGATTTCTGGTTCCTCATACCAAAGCTTTTGGCAATGACATATACCAAACTTTAGCTAATCTTATTTTGTTTGATATTTTCAGCCCAAATTTTGTTCTTTAATTTGAAGTTTGGCTGCTTCAGTAATCAAACAAGCAGAATGTATAATTGTATACCATAATAATTGTCAAACACAGCCTGGTGCATAATTTCCTTTTAAACATTCTCTCTTCTTCTTTTTTAACTTGAGATTATCTAATTCTAGTCTTGACATTTTGGTTGAATGGATATTATCATATTCCTGTACAATAGTAGTAATATCCAAATGTGTAGCCTTCTTGATTACAAACCTACCCTACTAATAGGGTCGGTCTGCAACCTTACTTTGTCAACTTATCTTTCTAAGATAAGGGAACTTGCATTTAGATCTTTCCCTTACCGCGTGCCAACCTTGCAATTCAGTGAAACGAAGGTAGGAGAATGCTAGGCCGTGGTGGAAATGAATACTACTAAGCAATCTTCTTTTTTCAATATATATTGGCTTCTGTGTTCTGTGATTGCCTCTTCTCGGCAGGTTAAGTCCTTTATAGCAAAGATGAATTCAACTTTACTGTGATGAATCCAGCATATTTACAAGGAAAGCACAAAAGTTATCGCACTTAGCTCTAAAGATTAATTTTCAAGTGTAGTAATATGTGTGATTGGTTAGAACAAGCACAGTAAAAATTTTGAGAAACTATGATTTATTGTTTGATTAATTGATTTTAGTACTCTCTGACTATACATCTCAGCCTTGGGTATGGATCCATTCATCTTACTTCCTTTTATTCTTGCTTCCAAACAACAAAGTTAAGTAGAACAGAATCCTAAAGAAAAAACCCCATCCAATGGTAATCCAGAAGCAGTTCCATTTGTTTAACTGAGTAACCCCTTGCTGCAACAGGATATCCCTCCCTGTTGTTAGACAGGTTGAGCCTGTGATGTTTGTGCCCAACGAATTGCCTACTTTCTTTAATAGATCAATCGGCAACGAAACTGGCAGCTTCCCAAGTGGGGTGTCATCGAAGATTTGGACGCCTCTGGTGAAACATTTCGTCGGATCGCGAAATTCGTTTAGTAACACTGCTTCGTATGGATATTTCACTATGGAAAGATAATGGAACCACAGCCAGTATCCGGGGAGTCGATTACGAGAAACGAAGAATCCACTGAAGAGAGTGAAATAGGCCAAAGTAGCAACCACAACAACGAAAGATACTAAAACATCGGAGACCAACGCTGAAAGAAATGCTACAAAGGAACTTCCTGCCCAAAATGAGGCAAAAATTGTAAGCAAAAGGAAGACGAACCCTGGGAAGCCACCGGCAAGGCCTACAGTCCAAAAGGTTATGGTAACAAAAGCAATAGAGAGGGTGATCAGCGATGGGAGGGAGATGAGGGAACGAGCAAGAACATATGAGGAACGACGGTAAGCGTTGAACGCAGTTTCTCTCATGAAGATGAATCGTTCTTGAATGAATTCTGGGACTTCGTGCGCACATGTGTAGAAAGTTGTGGATATAGCGAAAGCAAAGCATCCTAATCGTTCTTGCATGCCTCTGGGAGAATCATCAAGTTGCCAAAACATTGAGGCGACGATAATTCCAGTGATGACTATTGCAGCTAACCGGATACCAAATACTTCAGGCATTCTTCTTGAGTTTATTGATAATCTTTTGAGCAATACCAACACTTCTATCCAAAATGGATTGGCGAAAGATGAGACTGAAGATGTTGGATTTAAATCATTTGTGGCTCGGGAGACTAACTTGCCTCTAGAAATGCTTGTGTTTATTGCATCTTTAAGTGAAAGATTTGGCTTATTGGAGATGTTATTACTTGGGTTCTTTGCGGACTGCCATGACTTGTTAAATTCGACTAGATTCTGGGACTCACAAGGAGTTTCTTCAAGTTCGCGAATAAAATCAAGGGCAAACTCAGCTGGATTTTCATTCTCTGGAATCGGGTGCCCAAAATCACGAAAGAACTCTGACAGATTTGCTGGTGAACCGCTGTACAGAGTTTGTCCTTGCGATAAAAATATCAATCTGTCAAGCAAGCCTAAGATTCTGTAACTTGGTTGGTGAACGGACATGATCACAATGCTCCCGCTCTGAGCAATTCGTTGCAAGACCTTAACAACCATGAAGGCACTGGTTGAGTCTAGCCCTGAAGTTGGTTCATCGAGAAACAGGAGCATTGGATCATGAATTATATCAATTCCAATTGAAACTCTCCGTCGTTCTCCTCCGGAGACACCTCTATGCCCTTCATCTCCAATCACAGTCTTTGCTGCACTTCTCAATCCAAGTTGATCGATCAAAGCTTGAACTCTTGCTTTCTTCTTCGACGTTGAAAGTGAACGAGGGAGCCTGAATTCAGCTGAAAACATAAGCGTCTCTTCCACGGTTAGCATTGGAAACAAAAGATCATCTTGCATGACATAGGCAGAGATCACCTTCAATAGGCCTGACTCCAAAACTTCTCCATTCAAAGTGACAGACCCCTTCAGGCTTTGCTTCGCGATCCCGTTAGCAAGAGCATCTATCAGGGTCGACTTGCCCGACCCACTTGCACCAAGAATAGCCATGATTTCCCCTTCTCTTGCTTCACCCGTTACATCTTTCAGGATGGTTTTGGTGCTACTCTCAGGTGAAACAATCACGGTCCTTCCATGAAACGGAAACAATGTTTTAGGGCCAGCTTTTACGCTGTAAGTTAAGTTGTTGAATGATAAAACAAATCGATTTGATGGGGAAATGGAGCTGAAGGAGTTGGGTAGCTCTAGGATTTGATGCTGGTTGTTCTGGCTAGTAGAATCATGGTTTCCTGTCTTTTCCTCTTGCTTCAGGAATTGAAGTTCCATTTGGAATGTTTGAATGGAAAGACTAGGTGGGAACTTCCAGCATTCTTATAGAATTGTGGCTCAACTAACTGCCAAATTCGAGACCAGCCCGAGACTTGGTGGGTATGAATATTATCACATGTTAGAAATCACTAAATCCTATGCCTTGCCTTCTTGAAAGGGTTACGTCTTCATTTAAAGGAAAAGGACGAGAAATTTAACTTTCACTTGAAGGCCATGGTGGATAACTGTGCACATGCTTGCAGTTAATTTTATCTCTGTTCCCTATTATTTGATCTACAGATAGCTGACACCAAACTTTATTAAGGCTATAAAATGGCAGGCACAAATTGATTTTTTCTTTTAATTCTAATTATTTATATTGCATTTTTATATATCAATCCACCATAAACCGTTGTTTCGTTAATTAAAAAAATATAAAAATTTGAAAATAAATATAAAATATTTTAATCTTTTTTTGTCTTTCAGATTCCACCCAATTTTTTCTTCCTTGCATATTAAGGAGAAAGCATCTTATGATGAACTGAAACTATACACTGTATCAAGTACAAACCCCTATGCTAATAGAAAACAAGACAACAAAAAAAGTGTATTTTAACAAAAATAAAAATGTTTAATTACTTGGCACAAACCTATAATGTTTAGAATTCTCTTTATATTGTTCTTTCAAATTTTAGCTCTAGTAATTGTACAGTTTTTCAATCCACTTTCCATGCTAAAATGCCTAAAAAAATATAATATTTAATCATAATTGTGCTTCAAGTCCCACTCATCCACTAGTACTGCAGCAAAAATTAAATACTTTTGCTTGTCAGTTATTACTCACATTTACAACTAAATTTATATTAAATGCAAGGTAAAACTATTTTTTACCTTATAACAGTTTGATCCCCACTCACTTCATTCAAGTTTTGTTATAAATAAATATTAAAAAAAGAATTTTAAATAGTTTAAAATAAAAAAATGGATACATTGATTATTAAGTTAAATGCTTAATACTTAGATTAATACATTTTCTAGATGAAAATCTGGTCATATAGTTTGTTTATATGTACTATCATTACAATTGAAGCTACCATCACTTCTGTTTTAGTTTCCTCTAAAGTCCATGCTCAATTTCACCTATTTATGATTCTTTTTAACAAATTTAATCTAATTTTTTCATTTTTGATTACTTAAATTCTCCACAACATGTTTTTTTCAAAAACATTTTCCTGTATGTATTTAATTTAAATCAGATATGTAAAATCTTTTGATCTCATGATATTTCTTGTTCAACTAAAGTTTCAAATTTATTTTTTTTAAAAAAAAGTTCAAATAAAAACTATCAATTCGACCAAAAAACATAAAAATCCATTAAAATTGATTTATTATTTATTTTTTAAAATAAAGTTAATTACGTTTTAAAAAACTAATTCTAATTAAAAAGAGAGAGAAAACGCAAAGGCTAATTTAGTTAGGGTCCGGCCCAAGAACTATTCCTATGCCCAAGTCGACAGTCAACAATAAAGGTATTTTTTGGGTATCATCGAATCCTCACCCTTGGATTAATCCAAAACACATCTTAACCGTTTACGTGGTTGATTTTTTTTAAAAAAAAATCATAAATAAATTAAACAATCACGAAGAAAATAAAACTACTAGTAATTGTTTATTTCTTTAATCCATGCTCTCTGGTCTTTATTTTTTCTTCCAGGTATGAATGATCAATTTGATCTCCCTTGCTGTAAGTTTATATTTTTGTTTGCAGTTTCAGAAATGTCTAGCTACGATGATCGTTATGGTAATACTCGTCTGTATGTTGGCCGTCTCTCCTCACGGACGTGAGCACGTGATCTTGAACATCTCTTCAGCCGATTCGGCAGGTAGTTTTAGTTTCCTGAGTTTCAATGTTATGAAAGAAACTTACCTTCCAGCTAAATTTTACGGAATAAGTTTATCACTTTTTGGATTACATAATTAATTAATACTTATGTAACACAGTTGATGTCACAACTGACTATAAGTATATGCATTAATTATACTCTATACTATCAGTAGTGTGGGGTTTGGCAGTTTTGCAATGTTTAGGACGTTTCAGTAATTTCTTCTATTAATCGTGTCTCTTTTTCGTCTGTTAATGTACTTTTTGAAATGGGGACATGGCTATATGAATTAGCAGTTTATGGAGGTTTTGTGAGGGGAGTGGTCTCTTAATGAGATGTATGGCTTCTTAGGTCTCAACCAAGCTTGCTTTGCGAATGGCTTTGTGCTGACTATTGATGATCTTATCTGTGTGGGAAAGTCTTGCCCCTAGGTGTAGTGTGTTTTAACTTGTATGATCTTGTTGAAGGTTTCTGGGTTTTTGCCTAACCTGGAGGCCTATGGTGAGAGGGTCGGCCTTGGTGGAATTGATGGAAATTCCTGCCCATTGTATTGGAGACTTGGCGATTCTTTCTGTAGTATTATTGCGTGTTTTAGTGGAAATGGCAACAATCTCAAACTGGTGTCTGGTTCGTCTATGTGGGATGAAGTATCATACACTTGCAGTGCTTAAGTAATGATGGCCTTACTGTTTGTAGCTACAATTTCCGCAGAATACGTGATGTAGATATGAAGCATGACTTCGTCTTTGTTGTAAGTGATACCCCCTTCTCTTTATAGGTGTTCTGTTTTTTTTGTTTTCTTTGGCTTACTTTTTGTGAACGGAATTTAGCGATCCCCGAGATGCTGCTGATGTAATGTATAGCTTGGATGGTAGGGACTTTGATGGAAGTCTTATCATTGTTTAGTTTTCAAGCGGGGTGAGTTTTTCTTAACTTATAACGTACTTTAAGGAATTTTTCTGCAAGATTAAGTGAATTGTGTTCTAAGTGCGTGC